TTCACACCTCTCACGGGACCCATCATCACCCTCCAGCTGCAATGTGTTGGTCCATCTGTCGTCTGTCTTCCCCACTGCACTTCAGACATTTCGAATATTTAATTTCGCTTCGCTGTTAATGTACTTTTCCAATTCGGGGCCCAGAAGAAGTCATGAAGCGAACATTTCCAAAGAAACTTCATTTCTTTTGCGTAGTTCATATTGCAATGTACAGCCGAATGGGATGATGTTCGTGTACGTTACAGTGGAAGTGGTCGTGGCATGTTTTAGAGTACCGTTCTAGTCTTTTGTCAGGGGGGGAGAGAGTGAGGAAAGAACAAGACGTCTCAGGATAACAGGGAATCGAACCCGGAGGTTCCAAGTGCAGTGCCCCAACCGCCTTTTGTGTGTGGAAGAAACCCGGACCTGCACTGGCGACGAACAAAATATCTGTAACGAGCAGTTGTATTGTTTCTTGCAAGCCCCAGATCTGATAATAGAAGCCGGTCGGTCTTTGTGGCGACGCGAGGCTTCATTCCATATTTGGTGGCGATGCTGGTCGAAGGCAGACTCAGAACCGGCTCTCCCTCCAGAGGAACCGAGTCCAGGGTCTTTGTACTCCAGGCACCTGGATGCCGTTCTTCTACAGTTCGACGATCCGCCCTCAGTCGACTAGACCCACCATAAATGCGAAGAATGTTACTAGTTGTGCGTTGTATTCCCATCTCTTGCAGACAGTTTAAAGTTTCGCAGGCCTAGAATGCTACATTACCCTTCAAGTAATAAGCTATGAAACACAATAACGAATGCCCACAGGCTAGAACACAGCGCTGGCAGTGTGGAACCTTATCAGGGTTATCGGCAAAGACGCCCTGAGCAATGTCAAAAACTCGGATCCGAAGACACTGGCTTCAGGGTCATGTGACCACGGGACCCACCATCTGTCTCAGGGGCAAAGCCGGCCACTACGAATTCATAATCCTGAGTCTGCTACTTTCTTGCATCCACCAATGACAGACGAGTGCATTGTTTTGTCCTTGTTTCTGCCACGATCTGAATATAGAGCGCCCACGCGTGTCGGCCGACAGCCCACAGCAACTGGCAAGTCAGCTTTATAAAATACGTCACTGACGCCTCCACGCAGATACCTGCTCCTGTCCCAATATGGCGTGCTGCGTCCCTACTCGATCGACCGACCGACCGACCGAAGGTAGCAAGTACAATGGCAGTCTGTCTTGACTTATAAGCCAACTTTAAATAGAAATGAACATTTAGAAAATATCACAAGTGGTGTAACTGCCTGCCCTGGGACGACGCAGTCCAGCTGAAGTAAGAAGTTAAATTGTAGCAGCGAACAGTACAAAGCTCTGTATTCACACTGCCACTAAAACAAAATTTAAAAAACAATCTCTCGTCGGGAGTGACGTCAGCGGTTACATTGCACTTCCACGGGGGAGGGGGGGGGGGG